TGTTCAAATTTCAGAATTGAGTATTTGAAAAGTCACGATACATCAGATGCACATTTGGAGGGTATGTCATATGAGAGAGACGCTCAACGTCGAAGTACAGCAAGTACCAGCGGCAGCTGCGATGTGACCACGCCTTTGTCTGGGCACACATGTAGCACTGACAATGTGAGTCCTATTGTGAAAGCCTTACAAAACAGTGACAAACAGACAATGCAGAAGTTGGAAAAATTATTCATTACTGCATTCCATGTTGCTTACCGGGGGAAACCGCTCAGTGATTTTGAGTTTAATTTGGACCTACTTGACTGTGTTGGTGTTGACATTGGGAGCAAGTATAGGAACATTGCAGGTGCACGCAAGTTTATCAAAGCCATTGCATGTTCTCTCCAGAAGGGATTTATTCCCGAACTGAAGAAAGCGAGATTTGTGACAATTTTAAGTGATGGAAGCACAGACAGTGCCATCTTGGAACAAGAAACTGTCTTTATGAGATATGTAAGCCATGGTCAACCAGTATCCTTCCATGCAGGAACAGTACCTCTCGAACAATGTCATGCTGATGGTGTGCTTGATGGAATTAGAAAAGCTGTTGAATCAGTTGACATTTGTTTTGATGATCTGTTGAGTACTACAGAAGCAAGTGGTCCTAGTTTAGTATCCGTGAATTTTGATGGTGCTGCAGTCATGCTTGGCAGCAAAGGTGGTGTAGCAGCAAAAATATGCAAACAAGCAAAACATGTTGTACCAGTGCATTGCGTAGCACATAAGGTTGAACTGGCCGTATTGGATGCTGTCAAACATCTTCCTAGTCTGTCAAATTTTGAAGATGTCTTGAAACAAGTTTTCAAGTTCTACCATTATAGTCCAAAAATGAGAAGGGAACTCAAGTCCGTGTCTGACATATTCAATACTGATCTTGCCAATCTGTCTGATGTGAAACAGGTGAGATGGCTTGCGAGCAAAATCCGAGCTGTTAGAGCACTGAAGATAAGCTTTCACTCAATACTCAATCACTTTGAAAGTGGGGCCGCTGGTAGATCAGATCAAAGTGCCAAGTGTCAGGGATGGCTGAGGAAAATGAAGACAGTTTCATTTGTGAAAACTATGTGCATCCTTCTTGATATCCTTCCTATCCTCACAGAGGTATCTCTTGTCTTCCAGAAGGAAGACCTTCTCATTATTGAAGTCCCTTCAGCAATTGAAGGTCTTGTCATGAAGCTCCTAAACTGTGAAATTGATCCTGTTGGAGCAGGGGAGAGTATGGAATACTTTTCAAAAATGTACAACCATGAGAAATCCTCTTTTGATGGTGTGAAGCTAAATGGTGTGTGCCCCCCTGTCATCTTTAAAGATGATACATTCCTCATATCACTTGTTGATGGCATCATCACCTACTTAGATAAGAGATTTTCATGCTTCAAACAGAAGCCTCTCAAGCATTTCTCTGTGTTTGACTTCACAGAATGGCCAACTCAAAGAGAGCCCCTGTCTGTGTATGGTAGCACCGACCTGTCTGAGCTGATGGAACATTTCTCTGCACTGTTCTCAGGAGAGGAAAGAAAACAAATGTCCAAAGAATTTATTGACCTAAAAGGGCACCTGAAAGGCTGCACCAGACCAGTTCTTGAGACATACCAGCGGCTGCTTGAAAATACACCTGACAAGTTCTTACATATCTGTAAACTTGTTGAACTCATGCTTGTGGTTAGTCCAGGAACGTCTATTTGTGAGAGAATGTTTTCAAGCATGAACCTAGTTAAAACTCACCACAGAACAGCTCTAAACCAAAAGACACTTTGTCATACACTGACAATTATGACACATGGTTCAAAGAAACTTTCAGATTTGATCCAAGACCTGCCATTATGGAATGGCTTCACAACACACCAGGATCAAGGCATATCTTGTCTTTAGCGAAAGAGGCTAAACCTGAGCCTGTACCAATGCTTGGTCCATGCAGCAGCAAATGTGTTGATTAGACTGTCACTCACTGTGTACATGAGATGTAGAGTAAACATGGTAAATAAATGAGACAAAAGGGTAAGTTTTAATCTTTTATTACAGAAATCCACGGAGGATAGGTGTATCTCTTATTCTCAGTTCTGCAGCAGTAACATTTTACTGAATTTATTAGCTTTATTTTTAAAATAGGGCAAGTGAGAATGTTGGTCATACTTGCCCTTGGTCAAGTAACATTTTTAATAATTTTTCAACCCCTGGTTTTACATGTAAAATATATCTGGCAATTTACCAAAGTGCAACGCTTATGGATATTATTACTTTAAATGTTGTCAAAGCTTGTCATCTTGAATGTAGCGATGTCTCTAACCTATTCTCCACTTCCTAACACCTCACTATATAAATACATATAAATTTGGCCACCTATATCAAAATTGAGTTAAGGATTGACTGTGTATTTTTTCCGGTTCATTGAGGTATGAATCGAAAAACCGATGTGCAAACTGTATGAATCCGCGTAGTGGGATTAAAACAATGTTCATTAGACCTGTCAATTAATGCAAGAGGCGAAAATAACTGCAACAGTCAGACTGTAACGAACCGGAAGAAATATGTCCGAGAGAAGGCAGCTGTTTCAAGTAACATGGTCATTTACTGCGTGATTGAAACATTACTTCCCTGATTACAGTAAAACACAGTTGGAGAAATGCTAGTTAGAAATGAAACCCGAAGACATGAAAGTTGAACCGAGGCGAGCGGGGGAAAAAACAGGCGAGCGAGCCTGCACGTTTGCTGTTTCATTCATTCTCAGCCTTCGGTTTCAAAGGGTAGTTTGGACAATGAATATGCATGAAAGTCGCTAAATGTCCTGTGCATGACGATACACATGAGCAGAAAGGGAATTCCCTCGACTGTAATATTGGAATTCCCCAACATTCCACAGTAATAAAAGTATATCTAGTACCTTTCCTGACACATCTAACATAGTTGTAAAAGTACAAGGCAATTTATACCAATTGTTCAACCAATTATGTACATATCTGTAATTACGATTGTAACTAATATTTATTGAGAAATAAAACAGCATTAAATAAAACATGTGGTTTCTTGGTAAATATCCTGTATTTGGAACAAACACTTTGTATATAGCTAGCTATATACAATGTTTATTCCTAATACAGGATGTTTACCATCCCCAAACACACAAGCAGGATGACTTCTTTATATTACTCCTGGTTAAACAATAGCTTCAGATACCATTTCTTCCAATCATTCATCAAAACCATTGAATTATATCATTGGGTATTTTTTTACATCTGGGTATGAATGTGTGTACATAAGACATATATCACATGTTATATTGGGATGTTAAGTGGTCAAGTATAATGTTGGCACTCAGCAGTTATACTTAAGCCTTCTCTGCTTGATGAACAATTGTAAATTTACAATTTTGGGGACGAAGCTGAAAGCATTGGGACCAGTGAAATTTTTCAACTTTAATGGTCCATGACCAGGGAATTTATGCTAGTTTTTTCAACTCCTGCATCATAATTTGCATTCAACCTCATTATTGTAAACAATATTGCAAAAATACATAGAGGATATTTCATGTGTCTCACGAAATATCATGTTTCTCTCATCTTGTGACTGGGGAAAAGGAGATATTCCATGAGACACATGGAATATCCTATTTATTATATACATTTTGTGTAGTTAAATTAAATCATTTCATTACAAATGTAAAACCTTGAAACATAAATTCTCCCTACCCATCACACAGGGATGGTTCACTACCCCTTGTATTTGTGACTAAAAAAGTAGTTTTGTGTTTGCAAAATGTTAAAAAATATTAAGGGTCACGGAAATTTGGTATCATAAACATAGATGTGATTATATACAAAATCAACTTTAGCAAAAAATATTCTTGAAAACTACAAGATTACTGTTTGAAGCAAAGAAAAGTCACTGGTCAAGTAACAAAAATGGCGCTTTACGAAATAAAGAGTCTCGAGAGAATAACAAACGTCATGAAGCGATGTTAACTCCATATATGACCACCTGACATTATTTCGCCTTGTCAATACGGAACTAACATAAAAAGGAAGTCAACAGTTTGTGTAGGGGGCCATGCAGACACTTCCAATAAATGGAGACACAAGCTCCTCACAGCGATAGTCCGTCAGAAGAGCTCTCTATACTATCGCTGCCACCAGTCAAAGCTCCCCACTGTGAAAGGTGGCTGCAAACATGCTTGGAGTTGAACTTGCAACCGACTGATCGTTATGTTTCCAAACGAGTGATGACTGCAGTGAAGCCGAATACTCTTACCCCTGCTTAATTATTTTCTTTGTTTGTCAATTTGAATTTCTGTTTCATTACAACTATCATGTAATTAATATAGTAAGAATGTAAGGGGGAAGTTGGTTGATCTGACTGCAATCTCGAAACAATCTAATCAAACAAACAATAAGGTCATCTGGGAAATATGGTCAGTCGTAAACCTTTTAAAAAATAACTATGATGGCGTTCCAAAACATAAACAAAAATATAAATGTTACTACATTTGGGGTTAGAGGGTAAATTTCAAGATTCTTGTATTGGCCCCGCCCACACTGGTTGCAGCGTTGTTACAGAGTGTAAGGAAGGTGTCGCACACTGGGAAGGAGACATATTTAGGGGAGGTAACTCTTGTATGACAATAGTTCCGTCACAGTGTTATGTTCACTGCAATGAAAAGATCAATTTTCTCAACTTCGGAAAATTCAAGTCTTACACACTTAGGTATATCATAAATATTTATATCCTTTTTCCTGGAATCTTTTGCACTATTTTTGATTCACCTCACTATAAGTGTTTGTCACCATAATAATAAGGTTGAAGCCATATAATTTTGTGAGCTACAGATTCTTGTTGGTCTGTTTTTGTGAAAAATATATCTAATAATCACAATTTCAGGAAGGTTAAAATGCTTTTTCTTCAGAACTAAAATAATAGGTGAAACTTTGTGTATCTTGTTGCTTAATTTGTGTCGCTTGTTTCAGGGACTGGGTATTTTGTCGTGACACCAGAAACATATCGACTCACATCTGATGATCAAAATGTAACTTTCAATACTTCATGGCTGCCATACCACCCCATGTACATACCAGTGTTCCCACAAATTCAGAATATACCCACGCAGCTTCAACATCTGCACCACCTACAGCACATACAACATCAACAGCAGCAGCAGCTCCACATGCGGGCCCCAATGAGATCCATCTCATGCCAGGCTGACATGAATGGCAAGGTGCAAGCCCATCACAATACTGCTGATGTGGGCAAAGACAGCAGTGAGAACAAAAAGGCAAATAAGCAGCGACCTCGCAGTCAGAGCATGCGGGGCCTTAAGACTAGGGAAAAGGAAAAGGAACGGAACAAGGCTACAGTCAATGAGAATGATGATGCACTGAAGCGTACCATGTCCGTTAGGTACAAGACCGACAAGGTCAAAGCCATCAACAAGGACATAAACCTGAAGACCAGCAACATTAATCAAGACAAAGAAAAAGGTAACTGCTCGCTTCAACATTTGTTTCATGAAACAATTGTAAGCCTGAAATTGTGAATGGCTGCATTTCTTAAATTTCTAGTTCACCCATTGACAACTTTTGCTGACCCTTTCACTAAACCATTGGCTGACCCATACACAGCAATAAAAAAATCCATGTTTTTATTGGCGGACTCTTACACATGTTTAAGTTATTAATTAACTTACTTTTACACATTAAGCATGTGTTTTACCATGTGATGTCATTAAATGGAGATTGTTATGTATGTTAATACACACATATATTAAGGTAGCTAGGCATAGGACCTCCTGGATTAAAACTGTGATGTCATTCAGGTTTCTCCTGTTATCTGGAGGCTTGTATTTCTCCACACTGAGGCAATCACACCAGAAGTGGGTGGTGCTATGTACTGATTTCTTAGGCCTTCTGGGGGGCACGGGTGGCCCAGTCGTCTAAGGCGCTGTGACTCGCTGTGCAGAGTTGCCTCCCTTTGGCACACCAGCAACCTATGATTGTGGGTTCGAATCCCAGTTTGCCCCGATTATGTTTCTAGGTTTGTCAGCACCATACCCGTGCTCGTGGGTTTCACCGAAGTGGTAAACGTCTGAGGCCTGCATCACTTCGGCCTTTCCTCCCACATTAGGCTGACACACCGCAATATAACTGTAATACTATTAAAAGCGGAGTAAAACCCAATTCACTCACTCACTCTTAGGCCTTCTTGAAATGGCAGTGAAATATATGCTTCTGTTTTCGTCCAATACAAGCCAACATTTTTCTACTCTAATATATTAATTATGCTAGTATTGGAACAAAAGATAAAATGAGTTAAGAGTTTCACTTCTTATGATACATTTCTGAATGTCTGTTTACATGAATTTGACTGCAGATATGTTTATCAGAGAAATATGAATGTGGAATATGACCATATTCGACGTAATAAGCTCCCCGCTCTAATAAGTGCCCACGGCGATATTTGTTAATATATTGGCTATTGAACAATCCCAATTAGTACCCCTTCCGATTGATCAATGTACATAAGACTTATCTATTTGTGTATGATATGCACTCGTGTGTTATATGCATCCTTAATTATGGGCAATTCAATTTTTGAAAAATGTATCTGTTGTATATAAACATTTCAGACTGTCAGCATAAACCACGAAATTTATGTCGTTTTCTGTTTTTTTTAACCAAAATATTATTCTAATAAGAGCCCCCTATTTCTAATTTTGAGAGCGCCCTGGGCGCTTATTACGTCGAATACGGTAAGTTGATTATTTTATTGTCAGCATAGACCACACAATGCAATGTCAATCGAAAAAGGGTTTCACAAAAAATGTCTTTCTACCAAAGTGTTGAGAGGTATGGTTTTTATACAAACTTGCTTGTTAAACACGTCCTCTCCCCTTAAACTGTTATATCATTGAAGAAAGTTGAGCTTGTTTTCAATAACAACACTTAGTAAAGGCTTTTGGTATGTTTTCTTTGCAAAAATTGATATCTCACTAACTGTTGAATATCAATCATTAGATATTGCTGGTTTAGGATTTTGTTCCTTTTACTGATTCAAAGCAGAGAGTTTATTTTGGCCCAGTTTAGTCTTGTAAGCCATGTTGAATGCATTGGTATATTTCAGTCCCTGTTAAGAATATTCCATGAAACAGAGGCAGTGATTCTGATAAATTGATGTATCGTGACCTTATCTGAATCTCATCTTGTGTTTCAGGAGAGAAGGAGAAGATTTCTCTTTTCTCTAAAATATTTGGCCGGAATAAGAAGAAGAATGTAGCAAGTCCTCCGCCAGCTGTTGTGAAGGATGTAGAGTATGCAACATTCTCTGCACAGTTCCCTCCCCCTGAGTGGCATTGGTATCAGCAACAAGTGGAGAAACAGAGACGCACAGAAGCGTGGGTTAGTCAGCAGATAGCAAAGTCGTGTACCCTGCAATACCTCCAAAACATGGCGCCACCTGACAGCTCACTGAATACTGTTCACTACACTGAGGCCAGGCTAGCTGTAGCAAATCATGGCAGTCAGGCCATCTCCAGGCCACAGAGCAAACAGCAAGAAAACAATAACATCTGCGATAGAAAAGTGCATGGACGACGCCATGGAACAAAGTCAAAAAAAGATAAGACAAATGTGAATGAACAAAATCTGAGAGAGAATGAAGCAGTGTTGTTTGTTCATGAAGAGACCATGCCGACAGTATCTCTGTCCCCTGTACCAGCAGTGGATGATGAAATTTATCAGTCTGTCATTGGCAGTAAGTCTGCTGGACCAAGACATTCAACTCCACGAGTTTATGATACTATTCCCTTACATCGAGATGTTGGGGGCTACCGTGAGCATACTCTTAATAATCAAGATGATTTAGATCAGTTTTCTTGCCATCCTCATCATCAAAGACGTTCTCATCGCCCAAGAAGGAAGGGGGATCACAACAGTGGAAGCTATTATGATAATCAACATCAAAGTGACATAAGTTTTGAGTATAAAGGAAGAATGCCTATAAAAAATTCTCTGTGTGTCCAGTCCCGAGACAGTGGTGTCAACTGTGTTGGGCTGTCCACCAACAGTAAAAACAATGATCATCAAGGTGTTCACATTGCTACTGTTCAGACACCAGATCCAGTAATGGTGAGAAATAAGTTGGATAATTTGGAGGAAGAAGCCCAGACCACAGAGCAAGAGTTTGTGCATCTCAATAATACCATGATATCAGAGTACCAAGCAGAGCTCGGCCAACCTTCTCTATACAACAACTGTTATGATAGTTCTATGAATGAGGACAATGGTGGTATGCGAATAGTATGTGAAGCTGAAATCAATCACAAACTGATACCTGAAATTGTTCTTGAATCAGAGCCTCACCGAGTGATGAGTTGTCAAGATGTTGCTGAGCTTGCTAGTAATGGTGGCAGTCGGGATGCTCTCAACAGTGAGAAGAGCTATGACACAGTAGTAGCTGTCAAGAAGTGTGAGGATACCTCTCTAAGTAATGACAAGAAGAACTCAGAAATTTTCAGTGGTGATGTGTGTGAGCTTAGTCTTGTGGATAGTGGATTTAGTTCTCCAAGAAATGTTAACACTGGTGCATTGGAGCCTTCAAAACAGTCTAACAATATATTGGAAGGGTGCTCTGACATTAAGAATCACAAACAGTTCATGAAGACACAACCTCAGGTCCCTCATAATTCTCCAAAGGAAAAGTGTCCGATGAATGTAGAACACCGTCACAAACACTCCACTCACATGCTCAACAATCAGAGACACTCAAGAGGTTACAAGTATGACACAGGAGATAGTGTACCAAATAGAGTCTCCAAAGATCTCCATGTATTTCAGCAGCAGCAACTTAGTTCCAAAAGGTTTGGCCTGAATGGAGAGTTTGAAGTGGTTGGAGTTGTGTGAGGCTTGAACTATAAGTCATTCCTCTATTCACTTATACACCTTCATCACTTGAAGGGTATGCAAAATATCACATTTACAGAGCAGAGAGCATTTTTTAAATCACCTGTACTGTTTAACAAGACTTTGATGTCTTATCATTTATCAGTATTGTGGTTAATAAAGTCAATTTCACAGCCATAGCCAGCACCACATTGGATACTTAATCTAGTTTGCTGTTAACAGGCTTACAGTGTCCATTGATTTTTTGCACTTTTGTAGGTGATCTGTGATCTAGACTGATAGAATTGATGATTGTAGAATTTATAATTATAGAATTGCGATTAATGTGCGAGTCATTTATGAGGTCCCTGTCAACTAGAACTACCTGTGTTTTACTTTTGATCACATCCATCATTCATAATTCTTTTCTCAATCACAGGCTAAAAAGTCTTGATATGCCAGCTATATACCAGTAATTGTTTCTGATATATGATGGAGTAAATTCATAGTCCTTTATGGCCACTGTAATTGGATGTGTATGGTCAAAGTTGACAGAGGTCAGTCAGGGCACATTAACATGGACATTAATGTAGGAGTAAACAAATCATTCTTCCATTATTGAAGATAAACTAAAAATAACTTTGTTAACACCTGTCATGTGATTGAAGTGGCAATGTCACTGTCCAAGTATTTCATTCATTAAAGCAAAGAGTATTGTCATTATATGGTAACACCCAGCATGCTGTAGCATAATGATTAGCTTAGATTAATTGTCAACTTCACCAATCAGGAAAGAAGTATCAACATGCACATTATCTTACAGACTTGAGTTTTAACACTAGGAATTTGACAAAACTAAAATACATGGTTATTGGGTTTGAGTCTAAATGTTACTTAAATCTTGTTTACATCCATCTGTGGTTAAGATCACCAGAATTCACAGTGCAATAACTTTCTCAGTTGCAGTGATCAGTCATAATAGACACCTTTAGCCATACTTATCATGTGTCAGTGATATATCAATTAGAAATTCTGGCTGTACATGGCATGGTGTAAAGACTTTCATTTGTAACACTACAAAGTTGTTAAATTGAAACACTTCTGGCATGTGTTTACTAACACTGAAGGTTACTGATGATTAAATGAACACCAAACAATGATAACTATTGTTTGATTTTGGCATTTTCATTCATCTTGAAATATATAATCTTTTGATTCATGTTTTTATCTGGAAAGGGTTTGGTTCACTTAATTACAGTAGGTAATTGTTTTGCCTGAAATGCAAGCAACTTTCCATCTCTCTGTATTTATTTAGCGATTTTAGCTTTTTGAGGAGTTTTGAATCAATGATGGTACCAAGATATTCATACTTGTCTCTAACTTCTATCACCTCGTTATCAATAACAACTGGATTAAAACATGAGTAATCTTTTCTAAAATCTATGATCATTTCTTTTGTTTTCTTGACATTTAAAAGCAGATAATTATACTAACACCAAGATATATACCATACATGACCGTAGATAAGCCGAGGTATTAACTTTTTCCTTGAAATCAGTATCAAAATGTTATGCACGGAAGATAAGCTGGACCCCCAACCTAAAACTACGTCTCATCATGATCTTTTATCGGAAATAGAATATCAACAAATCTGTAATGAATTACTCAAGTTAATCCAGTCGTTACACCATCAGTAAAAAAAGTGTTTAATTGTATATCTAGACTCTATGTTTGTAATCTATGTTATCTATTTTATTCATTTTTATTAAACTCTCAATAATATTTGCATTATTTTCGGTGTCCCTCCAATACTATCCCTGCATATAAAACTATGCCTAGCATAACGAGAAATACAATCTAGTGATGTTTAATCGCACATTTTTTTACTTATCCTGCATTACTCCTTAATGCATTCACTGCTTACCTTATGACAAAAGAGGAACAGGGCAACGGTCATGGGAGAAGAAATTAAGTTGTTGTTCTGAAGTCCTACTTTTACTGACCACCGCCGCTGTCCTGTGACCTTGATGACACCTAAGGTCATCTTCTTCACATCACTGCTTGTCAGCGGAGCTCTCCTTTTGGATTAATTTAGACCCTCAGTTTTCGTCTACAAAAAAAATCGTCCAAAGATCCATATCCACGTTGTTTGGCATGCATGCAGATGTGCTGCCAAACTCTAAATTCAATTTTTGTGTATATCTCTCTACAACAAGTTTTACTATATATAAGCAGGTTACTCACAAACATTTTGCAGCAATCCCGTCATGAGACGAGAAGAACATCACAATCGCTGAATAGTGAAGGACATGGTTAGGTCTTTACCACGCAGCCGTTATCATCTGTTGGTAATATGATGGCCGGGAACTGTGACTGCAGAAGTGCACACTCCACCGAAAACAACAATACCAGAGGATTTTGTGAGTATCGTAACTGCTCCTAATTTTCAGACGCCTGAGACATCCAGTTTCAGTTTGCAAGGGCCCCCCTCGAACCCCTCTATGCATCCTCATTTTATGACCTCACCAATGAAACAATGTTTTCTCTTGGCATAAGCCATGGCGGCATGGGTAAGCGAACTACATGCCATCGACATCACCCTGGTCCGCTTTGAGCATGGAACACACAGAGCAGTACATCTAGGGTTCTGCTGGGATTTTATTGCAAAAATCAACTACCAGGCCAACCCCATTGTTCCTTCACCATCCAACCAATATTGACAATTGTGGGAGCCATAGATGAGGGTGAACTTCTCCTGGGCTCGGTGCGAGCACTTCGTGTTTCCATACACCGCTCCAAGACTAGGCTTGGTTCAAGGAAGCGGTTACTTATACCCGTGTCTCCTACGTCCACGACCGAAGTTAGCCGCAACACCATATCCCTATGGTTACTCGCAGTCATCCTTCAGGCTTACGAGATCGCCAAATTGAATCCGCCGAGAGCGAATTACCCTCACGAGTTCAGGGTGTTAGCCTTTACCATGGCTTTATACAGCAAGTATTCTATCAATCATGGAAGGATGTTTTTGGAGGTCCGACAAAGTTTTCGTTAGTCACTGTCTTCGCGATGTGGCTCTCGAGGACGTCGAAGGCGTGCAAAGTTTTGGCCCTCTGGTTTTAGCCCAGCAGGTTACCAACCCTCGACGCACATAATGAACTCGTCCTATACAGAGTCGGCCTACTTCCATGGCCGAGTCACTCAGTTTCCACCAGTGGAATCTGGTTTGTCAATGCCGGCTCTATGACGTAGTAATTAAAGAATTAGCTGATTAGCTATTGTTTCTTTATTACTAATTGTGTATAGGGAATTTCTCTTTAATTCCTATGTTCAATCGTTTTGATATTTGAAGAACCCTACCGTAATGGCGTTTTTCTGAACTTTTCCGCGTCACGGTTTATCAACCAACTGGTGTCGTATTTCAGGATGTGAATTATTGAGGTTTCTGTATTTCTGAAGGTTTACTCACTCCAAACCATCCGATACAGATGCAGTAAGGACTAATGCAGGATAAGTATAACATTTAGTAAAATCTAAATATGTTTTACATTTGTATACTTATCCTGCATTACCACATTTAAGGACCCACCCATCGCAGACTTGCCTCCCCACTTTGGCTACAGAAACCTCAAACATATGTTTTTTAATCTCAGGCGGCAGGCAGTGATGTGAAGAAGGTGACCTTACATGTCATCAAGGTCACATGACAGGCAGCGGTCCTTATAAAAGTGGGACTTGAAATAACATCTTTATTTCTTCTTCTTGTCATGGTAAGGTAAGCAGTGAATGCAATAAGGAGTAATGCAGGATAAGTATACAAAAGTAAAAAATATTTAGATTTTACTAAATTCGACAAGACTACATTTTGTCTATGTGTCTATCCTTTTGTAGATTGCATGGGGAACATTTAGTAAAATCTAAATATGTTTTACATTTGTATACTTAACCTGCATTACTATGTTTAAGGCCCATCCATCGCAGAGCTGCCTCCCCACTTTGGGCTCAGAAACCTCAAAAGTATGTTTTTCTAAGAGCTCAGGCGACAGGCAGTAATGTGAAGAAGGTGACCTGAGTTGTCATCAAGGTCACAGGACAGCTGACCCGTGAAGATCCGGGTTCGAATAGGTCTTCAGCAACCCATGCTTGCCGTAAAAGGCGACTATGTTTGTCATAAGAGGCCACTAATGGGATTGGGTAGTCAGACTGGCTGACTTGGTTGATGCATGTCATTGATCCCAATTGCATGGATGATGCTCATGATATCAGTCACTGGATGTCTGGTCCACAATAGATTATTTACAGACCGCCGTCATATAGCTGGAATATTGCTGAGTGTGGCATTAAACAACAAACAAAACAAACACAGGACAGAGGTGATTGTCAGTAAAAGTGGGACTTTATTTCTTCACCCAGGTCCATCGCTGTTGCGCTGTCCTTCTTTTATCGTAAGGTAAGCAATGAATGCATTAAGGAGTAAAGCAGGATAAGTATACAAATGTAAAAAATATTTACATTTTACTAATTTCACATTTATTTGACAAAGTTTGTTATAGAGTTGTTCATTCACCTGAAGAGATACAATGTAGTTTTTTTACCAACAGAGAAAGAGTTTGATGAAAGTGTAACCCATACAGAAACTGACCTCTTTCTACAGAATCTTTTTTCTGGTCCTAAACATTCGGCTTATCTATGGTCATATACGGTAATTTGAACATTCATTTCTGTACTTTAGTTCTGATAAGACCTGCAATTGCAGCATCAGCTTCCAAATTTACAGTAAAACAATTAAAATAAGCTAATAAAGGGATTGGTGCACAAAAGAAGTAAAATGGGCAAGATGATACAGCCTTGAGGGGCCCCTGTAAATGTGAGAAGAAAGGAAGAGCGTTAACAGTGGTTAAACAATAAACTTTTTGATCCATTTGACAATATTTTAGTTAACACCCATGATATTAAGCTTTTGCTTAAGTTGAGTGAGGCTGTATGGTATTGAAAGTAGATGAAAAGCTTGAACAATATTCTTGCATACGATTTTAGCGTTATCTAGATGGCTGTACATTATATGCAGAAGAATCTGTGTTGCGTCCTTGAATCCTCTGTTGGGTCTATATGCAAATTTCAAAGGGCGAACTTTGAAAAATAACAATGCATTCAAGGCATTTCATAGCTATTGATATTGAAGCCACATGGCATACATTGTGTACAGTTGGGATTTGCTCTTTGGGAACAGGTACAAAGTTAGAACTTTTCATGATTGAGGTATGTGATGGAAATCTTATGAAACTTGAAAAGGTTTTTTAAATATGCTGCACAACTGCTCACTGCATTCTTTTAATACTATACCATATAACTTTTCCGGGCCGCATGTATGTTAATTGTGCCAAAAGATTAAAGGACGTCAGCATTAGATATGGCTAAGTTATCATCCTGCTGGACGGAGTGAAATACATATTCAACATTTGAGGAATAATCACAAGTTTCAGAACAAGCATAAAAAGAGATCAACTCGTTGGCGAAAGACTCATCATCCTGTGCACTTACACGATTGTGTTTGTTGTAGGTCCCAATGATGGTCTAAATGCCCTTTCAGGCAGAATGTAGGTTTTTGTTTGAGAATTTATTTTCAATTTTGTCTTTGTAAAATGATTTCCTAGTTTCCTGATGTCCTTTTGAATGGATTTTCCTTTTGTCATGTCGCCTGCGAAAAACTTTAATCTAATAAAATGGATCTCATGCATCAGCATAATTCCTCATATGATCAAATAATATTTTATAAATAATTTCACTCATAAGAATACTTATATCAGGTGAGCAAAAATAGGCCAGTTTTTAGCTTTGTCTATTTTAATAGATGAACT